GCTGCTCCTGTTACTGTGACTGACGGGACTCACATCTTTAGTGTTCTCTGCTTCAAGTTCTAGGAAAGAAAAGGCCATAGGATACAATGGAAAGAGCCTAGATCTGACTCATAGGTCCTGCCTTAGGGGTCATGAGCAGGTAAACTTGAGCTTACTTTTAAGGACTCTGGGGTCCTCATCTGTCTGGAGAGGGCAGGATTAAACCAACTCTAAGATCTCTTCCTGCTCTAGGCTCTTGAATGTCACTGAGATTCTAAATAACAGCCCTTAGCCACCCATTTCAGGATTTAACAAGTTACCTGCTAGAAAGTTGTTTCTTTATCTAAAAACCTATGGTTTCTATCTCAGGAGCCAGAGAGTCAGTGACAACCTTAAAGGCAGGTCACCAACTTTTGCAGTCTCAGTCCTTCACACAGAGGCATGAAGTAAGACCTCAATGAATCCTTGTTGAGTGGGATGGATGGATGGATGGGTGGGTGGATGGATGGATGGATGAATTCCAAGGGCCAGCAAAAATGGAGACTGCTTGTTCTCCACTGAGCAAAGTTTAATGCAAGGAGAAAATGCTACCAATTTAAAATAATAATGATATTTCCTTTATCATCTGAACTAAAATCATACTATCAGATGGAATAGTCACTGCCAGTCAAAAGGATGCCTGACCCTGAAAGCCACCTTTGGGTTTTGCTAGAAGAGAGCATTTTGGTCTACAAGAAATGCATGTGTGGCCTAGCGGATGCCACAGACCACAGAAGGAATGCATAAACCCCGAGAAGGACATGTCACTCAACTTCTCTGGCAGGGGTGGCCCAGACATGTCAGCATGAAAGGTAAAATACGGGCCTCCTCATGTAGTTATGCATTGTGGCTGCCCTGAAGTACCCAGCTGAGGAGAGGTCTCAAATCCATCAGGTGGTCTGCTCACCTGCGAGGCCAGGCCCACCCAGGAGCCCCATGGGGGAGGACAGCAGCCATGATGGTTGACCTCAGCAGCAGATGGACTGGTCTGCTGGGGACTTTAGTGATAAAGAAAATAATAATAATCATGCACACACACATATATACTACACAGGGATGCACTTATTGTGCACTGTGTGCTAGATGCTTTGTTAAGCTCTTTCAATATTTTATTATATTTCATCTTAACCATCCTGAGAGGTAGGTGCTATTATTTGAAAGCACAGGCTCAGGAGTCAGACTGCCTGGGTTCAAATCCTAAGTGCCACTTATAAGCTGGATGACCTTCGACAGGGTTATTGAAGCTCTCTGGGCCTCAAGATTCTCATACGTAAAATGGAAATAATCATAGTGACCGTCTCATGAAGCTGTTGTGTGGTATAAATGCATTAATATGTGTAAAATGCTTAAAAGAGGAGCTGGCACAAAGTAAACCCTCAGTAAGTGTTAGCTATTCTTGTCATTCCCATCTAATAGCCGGAGACTAGGGAAAGGTCAGTGGCTTGCCGACGGCCTCACACCTGGTGAGAGGCACAGACAGGGCACAGACACAGGTATGACTCCATAGCAAACATGACCCAACACAGCTGATTCTAGCTCTGCAACCCCCAACCCCCATCCCATTCACACCACAACCCTCTCATCCATGGCAACATGGCCTAGTCTTTCCTGGTACCAATCCAGGCTACGAGGTGCTGAAAGGAAGATACTAAAAGAATGGGGATTCTAACTTATTTCAACTCTGATTTGGCTACTATATATCGAAAAAAAAAATGTGTCTTGGTACAGGGATCTGCCCCTCATCTAAGAGAAAATAGCCCCTATCCAGGCAGGGAGCACCTCTGTATCTGGGCCTTTTTAAAAGAGGTCTTATGTGCTCTCTCTCCTTGAAACCCTGAGAGGAAGGCAAAGCCTGAACTGCCCGATAAACCTGACCTTCAGTTAAGGATAACTGAATACAGAAAATGGGCATAATCGCTGGTAGAGAGGGAGAAACAACATGAGGGCCAACCCAGCAAGAGAGCCTCATGTTCTAAGATGACTAGACTCTGCCCTGGGTCCTGCCGTGCTGCCTGGAAGGTTCTAGGAAGAGTCAGAGCCTGGCCAGGAAAAACATATGCATCGTAGAAACCAAACCATCTGTGATCCAGAATGATCTGGGAGTGGGAAGCTTTGAAGCGTCAACTCAAAATAACCTGTAGTCATGGTTAGTAAACACTTTGGATGTTTGCTATGTGCCAGGACCTGTTCAAAGCCCTTTAGAAATACTATCCCATTTACTCTTCATATCAACAGAGTGAGGTAAGCAGTGTTTATCAGCCTCATTTTACAGATGAGGAAACTGAGATACAGAAAATTCGAATAACCTTTCCCAAGGTCACATAAGCAGTCTAGCTTCGGAGCCCATAGTCTTTATCAGCGTTTTCAAAGCTGTTTGTCCAACCCACACCAAGAAACACATCCTACGTCAGGACCCATTCTACATCACACATTTATACATGATTGAAACAAAGTTTTAAACAGAGTAATATTCACCATTACCATGTGCAATGCACTCCAGATGTTTTCTATCCTATGCCATCCCATTTGAAAAATACATCATTCAACAAATATGTACGGAATACCTCATATGCGTTGGACACTGTTCTAGGCTTTGGGGCTAAGTCAGTGGATGAAACAGACAAAAATCCTTACCCTCTTGGAGCTTGCGTTTTACTGGAGAAAAAGATGAATAAGATCCACATGCAAAATTATACCATCCGAGGTGGTAATTTGGTGAGTGAGATGGAGAAAAGGAAGCAGGGACAGCCAAGGGTAGCCAAGGAAGGCCTGACCATGCTTTCATGACTCACCACACTAATTTCAGTGGGCTGTTACCCACAGTGTGAAAACACCTGCCCTTAATCCCTCTGCTCTAGTGACTCTCTGTATGTCTTCAGGCTCTTTCTCCTAAATTGTATGCCCATGTGCACATGTATGTGACCATGCTCTTTCTCCTAAATTGTATGCCCATGTGCACATGCATGTGACCATGTGCACATGTGTGCACATGTATAGGAGTGTGTGGATGTGTGTGCATACATGTATGCACGTGCATGTCCACCACCCATTCACTTCATCACTGGGGAGGTTTTGGAGACAGGCGGCAGGGTGCCCATATGCAGCCCTGCTACAAAGCTTGCCCTGCAAAGAGGTCCTGGAATGGGGCCGGACATACAGCCTGGTCACCGCTGGCCAAAGCCATGAATGCCAACCATGTGCTTTGGCTGGAGTCTGCAGTCCAGGAAAAAGAGAATCTTTTTTATCATTGATCCACCCAGAGGGGGCACCTTTTGCAAATTGTTAGACGAGAGGGAACAGTAGTTCCTAATTGGCATCAAGATGCTCTAGGTGCTACAATGCCCTTAAGAAGAGAGGAGACAGCTCACAGAAATAAAAGTCACTCCCTGGGGGAAATCCAGTGCATTAGGCACACCTGGCAAAGTGATTGATGTGGGCCTGAGAGGAGATGGGATTGGAGCCAGCTCTGAAGCACATCTGGGCCACTCGGGCAGCCTCCATTTGGAACTTGGCACTAGAAATCTTCAGACTCTTCCTTTAAGTTAAAGGGGCACATAAAAAATGTTACTAGCATGGGTGGCAAAAGCATGACCTATGGGAAAAGCAGCCAATTTCTTCTAATGAATAAGTGTAATTGATCATAACAGATGACTGGATGGACCTTCCAAATGTGCTTTTAGCAAAGTAGACAGTTTTTCATTCAAATGCAAACTTACCCAGATAAGATCTAATAATGGAGATTTTGGAACAATCCCAGCATCAGTGATTTCTTTTTTTTTTTTTTTCTTCCTTCACTTAGCAGGAAAGCATATGATGTTTCCGGTCACAGCTTAAACTACCCAGACGCCAAGTTATGCTTTCTCTATGGCTGAGGAGACGCTGATACTCCCTTGGGCAGCAAAGGGGTAGTCACAGGCCACCCCACATTGCTGTCCTTTCCTCCTTAGCCCCATTCCCATGTCCTGATCTATGAGGAGCTGGGTGGCTGGGAGACAGCCTGTTCAATGCAATCATCCATTTGTTCAAGAAATATTTATTGAGCACTTACTATGTGCAAGGCACCATGCTGACCACTACAAGTGGATTCAAAGATGACTAAGACCAGGTCTAGTTCTTAGAAGAGGGGGCAAATGTGAGGAGAAACAACAAATGACAGGAAGTCCAAATAGAGGTCTCAGCTCTCTCCAACCAAGCACTTAATCTTTCTGAGCTTCAGTTTACTCCTTTATCAAATGAAGGCACTGCATTAGACATGATCACTGGGCACTAGGCCAGCTTGAAGACTCTATGGTTCTAAGCCTTCCCTTCCCACTCAGGCTCCTAGGCTCCTCCTAGGAAGCTGACAGATCAAGTGCAGCCTTGTAGGAAGGGGACCAGTCAGCAAAGGCCGGAGGCAGTGAGGAAAATGTACGTTTTCCCAAACGAGAGCCTGTTTCAATTTGGCCCAAACGCCGAAACAAGCTGGAGAAAATGAGAGATAAGTTCAGAAAATTCAGTGGAAGATTTAGACTTCCATATCAAGGAATCCAGGGGAAACGGGGGCCACTGGAGTTTGTGCCCAGGGTACTATCAGTACAGGCGCATGGTGCGGGCCCAAAGGAATCTGGCCGACCTGTGGAGGATGGGTTGGTTGCAAGGGGCCAGAACCGATAATGTTGCAATAGTCAGAGCAGAAAGGCTGAGGCCTCAGCGCAAGATTCCCTCCATGGTCTAGCCAAGCGCATCGTTCCATCACCTTCCTGCCATCGCCATAATGCTTATTTTCATAAATTCGCCTAAGCTGAAATCTTTAAGATTGCACTATCTTTTTTTTTAAGTTCCACAAGTGTCTTGAGGGTAAGCACGTAAATCTTATCTCCCTTCAAACCAGAAGGCTGAGGTTAAACAGGACCAAAGTGTGCCAGGGATGGGGGGGGTGCAGGAGGCGGCCAGCAGTGCCCCGGGATGCGCGAGGGCTAGGATCTAGAGAAGGGTGAGCCTACCTGCAGAGCAGCCGTCTTCGTGGTCCGAACTGTTGCGGCTGCAGTCACTGCCTCTCTCCGGCGAGCTGTGACTGGGTGAGTCTCGCTCCGGCACCCTCAAGAACCTCTTGCGCCGCCACGGTGGGAGGTGCTCGCGGGCCCCGCGCCGTGGGGGCTCATCCACTGCTAGAGGCGAGCCCCTCCCGTCCTTGGCCTCCGACTCCAACTGCTCTAGGTCTCGGCTCTGGCGCTGCTGCCGCCGGCCCCCAGGGATCAGGTTCATCCAGCGATGGGGGCTGCACGCCCGCGCCGGCTTTTCGGACTCATCGCGAGTCCCGAACCGGCAGGGGGCCACGAGCAAGTGGCCTAGGACGAATTTCTCATTCAAATCCACCATCTCGAAGTCGTGGTCACTGCTGTCGCCCCCATCGTCCGCCCCGGAGGCGTCCGGCTCGCCCTCCTCCGAGCCCCGCCCCGCGCGGGTCCCAGAGGACCGCTCCTCTCCCGGGGTGCTGGGAATTGTGCCATCGTGACCGGGGGGTGCACAGTCTTCCCGGGGCCTGAAGAGGAGGCGAGGCTGCAGCAGCTGGTGGTGGATCGCGGCGGTCAAGCTGCGCACGGCTCCCCCGGCCCCCGCCGCCCCGGGCCAGGTGGGAAGGTCCATGCACACGTACGGAGAAGTCTCGGCCTTGGCGGCCACCTCTGGGTCAAGACGCGCGAGACCCAGGGGGTCTCCGCCGCCGCCTGCTGAGCCTTCCTCCTCACGCGGTGGCTGCGCCGACTCCGGCGCTACAGGCGCCGGTTCCTCTGCCGAAGCTTCCCGGCGCCCGCAGCCGAGCTCCGGCTTCTCCCCGGCCAGGGCCGCCTGCAGGTAGAAGACTTTAAACTTCTCCTCTGCCAACACCTGTTGCAGCCGCTTTAGGTTCAGCTTGCAGCGCTCCAGCTCCTGCTCCATGTCTAGCACCGAGTCCAGCCGCATGACTGGCGCCTCCTCCCCGGGGAACTCGGCCTGCCAGTGGCGCTCAAAGTCCTGAGGGTCCCACATGCCGGGCGCCCCTTCGGGACTCCAGGGCCCAGCTCCTCGGCGCGCAGCGAGCTGGGGTCGTGCTGGTTCTTTCCCAGAAGCCCCGCGCTGGCGCAGTAGCCTGTCCTCCACTTCAGCCCCCGAAGAGAATGAGAGAAAAAATAAAGTTTTTCCCCTTCCGCCCTCGTGCTTTTTTTTTTTTTCCCTTCTTCTTGGTTTCGCCTCCCTGACGTAAGAGGCTACCCGCAGCGGAGGCGGGCGTCTAGGGGCCCTGGGTCCGCCCGGAGCAGGACCCGCTGAGCCAGCCGGGTCTGCAGCTCCTACTACCGGGCCGGGTGCCCCGCGGGCTCCCGCGTCTGTAGAGCCGCGGCGGGGGCGGAGCCTCGGTGGCGCCCGGCCAAGGCCCTGCAGGCGCGCCTTGGAGCTGCGCTGGCGGCGGGGAGCCTGGGAGAGGGCGGCGGAGGGGCGGGCCTGCGTGCAGTCAACCCCCGGAGCTGGCCGCTGTAGGCCCTGCTGGCTCCTTCCTGGCCAGTCGGGCTGCGCAGCTCCGCCGCAGAGCGGGCTCCCTGCACCAGAGCGCGGGGCCGCGCGGCCCTGAGAAGCTGGAGCCCCCGTGAGGGAGCGCGCGGGGGCGCATGGGCCCCGGGCCAACCTTCCTCCAGCCGGCTCTCCGCTGCCTCCCCTACCCAGGGTCAGGGCGACGCCTTGGACCAAGAAGAAAAGGTCGGGGAGAGGCGATGTGGCGCGGCGGCGAGGGCAAGTGTGGAAGGAAGAGGTCGGCTGACCCTCAGGGTTTGTCCCTCGCCGAGATTTATTGAGCACTTTGAACTAACTTGATCAAAATCATGGAGCTATTTAATCCAAAGATGAGGATAAAACTTTGGGTTTTCTGGTTCCCTTTAAAGCCTTCTCTCCACTGCTCACTAGAGCTTTTCAGGGGGAAAAATAAAGTTTGACAGCTCCAAATGGCTATGCTTAGAGGCCCCTGTGATATACTCCCGTGTGACTGAATTAAAGCATGACAATAGGTGCCTTAGATATTTGGGTGTCTAAGAGGACCCTCCAGTCCACTTCCTCTTTGTGGCCTCAACAGTTCACCTAAGAAGGAAAAGAAAGGAGGAGCTGGGTACAGGCACCTGGGCTGGCCCTCCGGGTGGGGTGATGGGGGACTCCCTCTTCACCATCCACTCCACACCTGGCTGCACCACACTTCTCCCCTCCACTCCACACCTGGCTGCACCACACTTCTCCGGGGTGTTGGGTGAGGTCCTATTGTCTGCAGAGAGAGGTTCTGATAATTTGGCTTGTGCTAGCCGCAAGGGGAGACCTTGTCCTTGATTCACATTTCCTTCATTTTAAGGATGAGGAAATTGATACTCTAAGAAACTAAGTGATTTGACCGCTGGAAATTCATCGCTGTCCTCAATGCCCTTTGGGGACTAAAGCTAACCCAGCCACCTTTTCTCTCCAGCTCCCTGCCACTTGCCTCTCACCTGAACCGTTTGAACAGACCACCTTGCTCCAGTTTGCTTTCAATCCCTTTCAATCCATTCCTCAAGGCGGATATTGGGAAGCTACCAGGAAGATCTTAACCACAAATGAGATCGTGCCATGCTTTTGCTCCAAACCCTTCAGTGATTCCCCATCACCTACAGGATGGAGCCCAGACTCCTCTGCATGACACAGGAGGTCCTCCCACATTGGGTCTCTACCAACTTCTCTGCCTTCCACCTGTGCATTAATTAGCCTTACCAACTTCATGCTGTCCCACAAAGATGCCTCACTCTTGATGAGTGCCTTTTCCTTGGAACACCTCTTCCTGCACATGGGCACAACTCCCTGCTGCCCTGGGGGATTCTAATCCTCCTTTAAGACCCAGCTAAAGCACCCCTACCTTTCTGGCCCCTCTCCCTCTTCTTTATGTCTTTATCTTGTACATGTCTTTATCTTTGCCCTTGTCCCATTTTCTTATAATTATTAGTGACATCTTTTGTTTCCCCTACTTTCAGGACCCCTCAAGGGCAGGGATTGTGTCTTCCATTTTTGTGTTCCTGTTGCTTCTTGCAGAATGTGATAGATAAATGATTGTTGAATGAAGGAAATGAATGAATGAATGAATGAATGAATGAATGAATGAATGAATGAACAGACAAATGAAGGAATTCCCCATCCTGCAATTCCTACTTGGCTTCTCCAACTGAGAATCACTCCAGACAGGGAGCAGGTTTGCTTCCCACAGCGGCTTCTCAACTCCAGAATTTCTTTCCTTGACAAAGTCTGTGTTTACTCATTTTCCCAATATCCCTTCTTCTTTTTTTTTTTTTTTAAATTTGTTGTGCCACTGGTATGACTCATCACAGTGTTTGTCTTTTCACCTGACTGCTATGGGGGAATGGATATATTTTAAGATACATTAATTGAGTATTCCCCAGCTTGTGTAATTTCTCAATTCTTCACCTAGTTCCTCAAACATTCTCTCCCACCTTATCTTCATATTTTGAAGAGACCGACCCAGCCTCCCCAGAGGCCACCACAATCTCCTTTGTCCACTGGGAAGGACTGAGGAGCTCCCAGCCTACAGCAGCTAATGCAGGGTATTTCATTAAGCCAAGTCAACAAGCACCTTGGCCTCTGTTACAATTTCTTCGGAATGAGGAAGGGCAACACAGCAGGGATGGATGGCTTCAGTCAACAGCATATTGATTGGAAGATGTTTCAATGTGTATATTTAAACACACACACACACACACACACATACACACACACACACACACACAATAAGTTACTATAAGCATCAATCTCTGAATATGTAAGTTCCTTGGGAGGATAGTTTCAACTCTGTCCTTTAATTAAAGCAGCAGTATGATTCCCTTTTGGTCCAAGGAAGTTGTTACCAATACCACTAATTTTTTCCACGAGGACCAATATAGCTGGAAATGCCAGCATATATCTTCTGTAAACAGATCCCAGGAGCAAACTTCATTGTATTTAGCTGGTGGATAGTTCAGTTTTATTACTTGGCTTTGGGTCATCATGAGGGCAGAGATAGAGTGGCTGACATTTATTGAGTCCACACTTCTAGTTGCCAGACATCTTTGATTGCATCTAATTCCTCATAACAACCCTGTAAAGAAGGTATTATTGTTGTCACTTCAGAAAGAGAGAGAAATGAAAGACCAAAGAGGTTCGAGGTCACTCACACAGTCAATCTGCTGGATTCTAAAGTCCAGTAGCTTTGTAAAGACTTGGCCCAGGCATGTCTGCCATTAGCATTTATTCATTCAGTTCAATAAATATTTGTTGAGCACCTACTAGGTGCCAGGGCCTGGAAAATAAAGTTTAAACTTTGTAGCCTGGAATATCAGAATCTTCACAATGGGTCCTCTAACTTCAGCCTACTTCTCCAACCTCATTTCCTGAATTTATTCTCTTTGCTGCACCCATTCAGCTCCCTAATCTGAGTCACCCTCTGAGCAGATGCCTTTTTTTTTTTTAAGATTTTTTTATTGGGGAATTGGGGGGATGGGAACAGTGCTGGGGAATTGGGGAAAGGGGAACAGACAAGTTGCTGTCGTTTTTTGTTCTTCAATCTAGTTGTGGAGGATGTTGCTTCACTGGCCCAAGTTGGCACCATCATTGCGCTCTTCTCTGGCGAGGCAGATCAGTCGCCGGCTTCTGGACGGCCGCTCACTGCGGCTGCTGGCCGCTCACACTGGCTGCTGGCCACACACGGTAGCTGCTGGCCACACACGGTAGCCATGGCAATCCACTGCCACAGGGACTGCAGCCCACGCCGTCGCCGGCGACTCACGGCACCCCAGCTCCAGGTTGAGCTGTTGTTCAGCCATCTTAGCTGTAGAGGGCAGTGTCACTGGCCCTCATATGTGGGATCCGAACCGGGGCCCTCTGGCATCCCAAGCCAGTTCTTAACCATCGCGCCACTCGGCCGGCCCGAGCAGATGCCTTTTATAGTCCCATGCCATCTTGGATTTCTGCTGCTGCTATAGTGGACGGTTACCATAGGTTGCCAGGGTCTCACATCAAGTGCCAACCCCTACTACTCTCCACTTTTCTGCACCAGGGTTTTTCTCAGTCACAGAGCTCTCAAGGGCATCCCAGGTGGAAGTTTCTATGGGGGAAATTAACACCCCTAGGCGTATTTCATGGCCAGTGAAATTGGGAGCTGGTTAATAAGTGCCCCAAGTGCCTGTCTTTGAAGGGCATTTCTGAGGCATACTCTGCATGGTTGCTCCAGTGGTCTCCAAAGGGAGTGAGCCCAGCTGTTCACAGTGGTAGCCAATCGAAAATGAGCTCTCTATTGGCTTTCCCTTCTTGTCTGTCTCCCTTGCTCCTGCTTCTTAGGATAACATCCTGACAAAAATATGTGCAGTAGGTCCTAGTGTCAGTCCCTGCTTTCCTCCGCTGGCTCCCCGACCTCCATTCTCCCTGTGCCCTCTTTGATACAGCCACACAAGATGCTTCAGCATTCTCTCTGTTATTCCTTGGTCTCTTATGTCTTCTGTTGCCACGCTGCCTCCTCCTTTACCTGGTGAGATCCTTTTTGCCTGTCAAACCCTAGCTCTCACCTATGTCTTGCTCTCTGAAGCCTTGTCTTCCCCAGGTCCAGATAGGCATGCTTCTCTACAGAGGGATTTGCCTTGGTCTCAGCACTGGGCATACCACACTGGAATTCATTCCACGGCTTTTTGAGGAAATCCTGGCTCCCGCCAGCTGGCATCTCTTACGTCTCCAACTGCCACAGCCCCTAAATATGGTGCCAAACAGAGTCAGTGCTTAGTACGTGTCCATTGAGAGAATGAATGAATGAATGGTGAATGAGTGAATGACTAGTACTCCACCTGAACTCTTTAGACCTTACCTTCATCCCATTTTAAAGTAGGACTACCCTTACCCAAAGGAAGAGTGGTGGGAAGACAACTCTGAGGTGATGCTGCCAGGAGCTCTGCTTTTTAAAAAGTTTCTTTAGATGAACAAGCAGCCTCTGTGGAAATATAAATTTTCACTGTCAGTGATTCACACTTCAGTGTGAACTGCCTTCTCCCTTGCTTTCTTCAGGGTTATCTGAAGTTAGCATGAAAGGGCTGGGAGTTTGGAGGAGGGAGGAGAATGGAAATAGTGGAGCCAGAAGAAGGAGCATAGCCTGGAAAAGCCTGGGCAAGGGTGG